AGGAGAGAGGGGGTGAGTGGGGGTCCCTGCACTGGTGGGGGGGAGGGAGGAAGGAGGGAGGGATGGAGGGAAGAAGGAGGGAGGAGGGAGGGACGTAGGGAGGGAGGATGGAGGGAAGGAAGGATGAAGGAGAGAGGGATGAATGCAGGAGGGAGGGATGAAGGAAAGCGGGAAGGAGGGAGGATGAGGAAGAAGGGCAGGAGAAGGGAGGGAGGGAGGGAAGGAAAGATGAAGGAGAGAGGGATGAATGAAAGAGGGAGGGGGGATGGAGGAAGAAGGGAGGGAGAGGTGAAGGGAGGGAAAGAAGGATGAAGGAGAGAGGGATGAATGAAGGAGGGAGGGACGAAGGAAAGAGGGAGGGAGGAGGGAGGAAGAAGGGAAGGAGAAGGGAGGAAGGGAGGGAGGGAAGAGGAAGGAAGGAGGAAGGGAGGGAGGAAGGGAGGATGGAGGAGAGATGAACGAAGGAGGGAGGGACGAAGGACGGAAGGAGGAGGAAGGAAGGAGGAAGGGAGGATGGAGGAAGAAGGGAGGGAGGGAGGGAGGAGAGGATGAAGGAAGGAGGGAGGGAGGCTGGAGGAGGGATGCAGGGAGGGAGGCGGGAGGGAGGGAAGGAGGAAGGGAGGGATCAGCGGAGGAAGGAGGGGTGGAAGGAGGAAGAGGAAGAGGAGGAAGAGGAGGAGGAGGAGGAGGAGGAGGAGGGAGAGCCGGCAGAGCTGACCTTGAGGCTGCCTGAGACTGACCCTGAAGCAGTGAGATTCTCCATTCTGTTCACAGGCACTGTCATCTCTCACCTTGCAGAGAGCGCTCTCCTTGGCCATTTATCATCACAAATGTTTCTATTTAGGCTTATTTGTTTGTACAGTTAAGCCCTGTTACACTTACACCAAGAAGAAGGACAAATTGTGATTTTATCCAATGTTAGATCATATCACTCCATGCTACAACATTCGCAGCATTAATAAGGATAAAGGGAGACTTTGGAGAAATCCAATAACACGGCACGTGTGATAACGGCCCAGCGAAAGGGCTCTGGGGAGGGGGTGCAGTTCCGCAGCGGGGGCTCTGCCGCGGGTGCTCCCTTTGTGCACACCTTGCATTGAAGGGATTTCTCAGCTGGGTGAATGTGGCTAACGCAATTCCAGCGACGAGGTCCTGCTCGTTAACGAGCGTTACTCTGCCCACTAGAACCCTTCAGTTCCTGAAAAATGCCTTGCTTTTACACAAAGCACTGGATGCCTGCACGGTTCCCAGCTCTTTGCACCAGTGCTCACCCGGTGCAGAAATGTGCTTTTTTTAATAAAGACAAAAGTAGTGG